TATTAAAAGAGCTCCTAGACAACTATATAAAATATAGAGATTCTACAGATGCAATTTTGCTCCACTTTGAAAGTAGATTTTTAAAATGTATAGCCACATATTATATTTCAGATGTTAATGACGAATGTTCAGCAAATATGGACTATGAAAGAAGAAATATTATGCTTTTTAAAATAATGTTATCTGCTTATTCTTTGGCTGTAATGTAGCTGGCAAGCTGCATTTGGGGCTGTCTACGTGTGTTTTTTAAAATGTCATCTTTATTAGTATTACATTCAAGGAATAGTACCAAGAATCAGTTTCTTGCAAGACCTTCCTCCAGTGTGTGGCATATAAGTCTGTGACGAGCGACATTACAGAAGGTCATGTCACTTTTAACTGCTTGCATTACATCTTTCTGATTTCCCTAGTGCCCTTCCTTTGTTTGATTAATACTACTTGCTTTCAAGCAAGGTATCAGAAAGCATAATTTGGAAAGAGAATTCTAGAGGCGATCTGAGATAGTCCCCATCAAGAAAAAAGACAACTTTGTAAAAACGTATCTTTTTTAGCACACGCATTTTCTCATCACTCTTTCTTTTTTTTCCTGAAGGAAATCCTATGTATGTGTTGCTATTAAATTATTGCTGACAAATGTTTGGGCAACTGAACTTTGTGTACTTGAAAAAAAATCTGTGTAGTTCTTATTTGGTTTTATTTAAAGAGGAAAGAGATGGAATTTGAGACTAGGACTCCTTTATTTTATTTGTTTTCCTTCATTAAGTGTTAAACTCCAGCACCCTTTTTCTAAATAGTAGGTGTTATTTGAGTTCTCTGGGAAAGGTTGCAATTTTGTGCAGTCATTAAATGCACTTCAGTGATATATACAGTTTGTTTTTAAAAGCTCAGTTTGCAGTTTCTATATTCACTGCGTTTGGCTAGGGCTCATGTCTTAAAGCACAGCCCAGCTTCTGAGACACTCTTGCCTTCAAAGCCATCCATTTCCTTGGGCCATTAAAGCCTGAAAATTAGTTGTGAAAGCATTACCATTTTAATTGGGAATCTTTACCCACACCTCTACCTGTGCCCCTCTGTGTGTTTCTTAGTGTCAATGAAACATGAATCAGAATTGTGTACATCATTAGGACTGCTGAATATTTTGCCCAGGAAAAAAATATATATAATTTAATTTCTAAAAATTAATGTTTAAAATATTATTAAATTGATGTTATTTTTATTTTTATTCATAGCTAACATTTTTGAGTGCTTACTTTGATAGAAGAACTGTGCTGAGCACTTTAAATACATTATCTCATTGGATCCTTAATCAACACTGTGGGATAAGTGCTATTATCATCTCCATTTGCCAAGGCACCTTAAGCTTCACCTGAGCAAAATATAATAGTAGGATCCATTCTGAAGCAGCTTAAAGGCATCAGTAGGAACCCATCTGTATTATAAATCCTCACTTGAGGATGTTTATGATGTAACATTAAAAAGGCACTGGAGGAGGGGCAAACCCCTCGCTAGAGCGTTAAAACACAACACAAAGGCCTCTTGCTAACACAACACTTTTCTGCCAAGTGTAAAAGCAAATGGTTGTATTGGGTGGTTCTGGCTGCACATTTGTGGAGCAATTGTGTGTAGCCAATTACCCATTTGTGCAGGGTGTGAATAGTTTGGGTTTTGCAAATGAAGATCCTGATTCTATAGACCTCTTTGAGTCATTCTTGAACATCAGATCCGTAGCTGATTTGTAAAATGTGTGAATTAAGCTATTAGTTTGTTTTATGGTTCAATAATATTTTGAATTTTTGAAAATTAACTTGAAGATAGTGGAGATCTCCAAATCTTAAAGGTTAAAGATTCATGGTTTTTCTTGCCAGGCAAATAGTTGAAAGCATTTTGAATATTTGCTTTTATTAATCTGCATCATTGATCAGGTATAAGTCTTTCAGTTCTGTGAGATAACTGATAGGCACTTTACCAAAAAGTTTTTTCAAAGATATGAAGAATAGATGATGCATTCATCTATTCACTTTATCAACAAATATTTCTTGAACACCCATTATGTCCCTTGCAATTTGCTAGGCACAATCCAACACCATTCTGCCTTCCTAGCACCTGCAGTATGATGGTAAGTACTGAAGAGAGGAGGCATATAATACATTCTTAATAATAACTAGCTAAAATATTGTTTGAGTTTATGCACAAGAGTAAAAGTAGGGTATTCATTTCATTTTCCATTTTTGATATATGACTCTGCATGGGTAATTTTAGCAAAAAATTACTTAAATATATATCAAGTCATCATGTTGTACCCTTCAAATATATACAATTTTTATTTTTAAAAAATAAAATAGATAATAATGACCAACCTTAAAAAATTACTTAATCTAGATCTAAATTTAAAACGTCATTTTATTAGAGATACAAAATTATAATCATTTTAAAAAATCTTGCAGGCCAGCCCCATGGCCTAGTGGTTAAGTTCAGCACGCTCCGCTTTGGCAGCCCAGGCGTGGATCTACACCACTCGTCTGTCAGTGGCCATGCTGTGGCGGCAGCTCACGTACAAAAAAAGGGAAGATTGGCAGCGGATGTTAGCTCAGGGCAAATCATCAGTGAGAAAAAGAAAAGAAAAGAAAAAAAATCTTGTGAGGGTTAGGTGAATTCCTTTTTTTCTTTTTAACTTTTTTTTTCCTGGAACTAGGCAGAGGTTGAGAGCTGGCCCTCTTCTATCCCACAGCCTGGGTTTGAGTTCTAGGTCACCTAGTTGCTATATTAGGTGAATTCTTTTGATGCAATACAACATACTGAAATATTGTGGCTGCTTTTCCTGTTTAAACCTCCATTACAAATAGCCCATTTTGGATTAGCCTGGCCTCTACCACCTCAATTATACATTGTCACTATTGTTGTCTGTATATTTATGGCATAAATACTTCAAAATTTCAGGAAATTAAAAGTCAACATGAAAGGTTATCTGATAGTCCTCATTTAAATTCTACTGGATTATAAGCCTCTTGAGGGCTGGCATGAATATAGGTGAAGTATCTGTGTGTTATTCCTCTTTGTACCCCCACAATACCTAGCACTGTGTGCCTTGGACAAGGGGGATTATAATAAATGCTTATAGAGTGGCCGAATATAGTTAGAGAGAATGTCGAGTCCTTTCTTGCTGAGGCTGAATTGCTTTACGTGTCCCCAAAATAAGTATAAACACTCATCAGATATTGGAAGCAGCTCATTGTGCTCCGATGGTCCTTTTGAAATGCTGAATGTCCAAACGAAAGATCACAAAATTCTACCATTTAATAGAAGATTTAAAGTATGACATTAAGTTAGGAACAGTCTCACAGGTTGTCAGATGCTTTCGGTTATATATCGGTTCATGAGAACTGGAAGTTTGTGTTTGGGCTATTCTTTTAAACCAGTTAATGTTTTAGAATATTTGAGAAAAATTATTAGAATAATCGAGAGTCCTGACGTGTTATCTCAGTTTATGTAACTCTTTGCATAATACAATCTTAGTTATGGAAGTTTTCATTCATAGCATATTCCTGTCTGTATCATAATGCCACATGAAGGGCTAACTTTTTATCTTCTAAAGTTATGAGTTTTGGGAGAAAAGTTTAAAAATATTTAATAGCTGTGATTCTATCTAATTTACTCAGAGATAGAGATTCAGAATGGATAAAAAATAAAAGCACAACAAGAATTTAGAAATCATATCAGATGGTGTAAATATAATAAGTTGGCACTCACCTGAGTAACAACTCCCTCCAAAGCTTCTTAAATGTTTGGTTTTCATGGTGTGTTGGGGGGGCGGGGTGTAGGTGTGTAAACCCATAATAAACCCCTGAAACAGGTGAAGTCCCATTTGTAATGCTTGCAGTTATATGTTGATCGAGGCAAGGGGAAATTATTTAGCAAATCCAAAATGACGATTCCATTCTGATGAAGCAGGTAAACTAGAAACCATTAAATAAATACATGCATGCATATCCACCTGCATGCGTTATATACATATTATACACATTAGATTATAGAATACATTTCTAGTTTTATTTTATTTATTTATTTATTTATTTTGTGAGGAAGATCAGCCCTGAGCTAACATCCATGCTAATCCTCCTCTTTTTTTTTTTTTGCTGAGGAAGACCGGCTCTGAGCCAACATCTATTGCCAATCTTCCTCCTTTTTTTTTTCCCCAAAGCCCCAGTAGATAGTTGTATGTCATAGTTGCACATTCTTCTAGTTGCTATGTGGGACGCGGCCTTAGCATGGCCGGAAAAGCGGTGCATTGGTGCGCGCCCGGATCCGAACCCGGGCCGCCAGTAGCGGAGCGCGTGCACTTAACCGCTAAGCCATGGGGCCGACCCTAGTTTTATTTTAGTATTAATGTGCATTCTCGTAATTTACTCCTTGTGTAAAATTACAGAATTAAAATTAGAGTTTCAGGTAATCCACAAAATCAACAAGTTATACAGAGATAGTCAAGAGTTGACATTTATTCATAAGAATTGAAATTTGAGCCATGAAGGTTATTGTAGTTTTATGCCACAGACCACCAGCATGAATCAATGAACAGACATAGTTTTTTATCTTAGAGTTTGGTGAAAAGTAAATCAGAAATAGCAGAGCTGTTTTCTGCTTAGTTATCTAGCTCCAAATTTAAAATGCCTAATTAATATAGATAGCAGAATAGGTAGAAAAGAAAAATCCTGATTTAAAGCATCCCTCAAATTAATGTTAGTGGACCTCATGCATATTTCAGATTCTTTAAGTTGTCACAGAACATTTCACACAAATAGAGTTCCCCTGACTGGGATTCAGTTCCCCGGTTTTAATCAATTGAAGGCATAGCATTTTCCTAATCCCTATCTCGAGATCAAATATTCCCTCTCAGTGCATCCGTTTCAAATGTTAATAAAGTTTTCGTTTCCAAAAGGTTCAAAATGACAGAACAAAATTCTCTCCTTTAAGAGCACGAAAATGACTTCCGTTTCTGTCTGCAGGTAGTGGAGGACATGCTAGAGGACGAGGAAGAAGAAGATGACAAAGATGACAAGGTAATTATCTTTCCCAGCACTAGGGTACCTGGGGATGGGGAAATGTAGACATAACACTGTTTCCACAGACAGTTAAAAAAGGAGTTGAAGTGTTTGAGTCCAGAAAATTGGACAGTGCTGTTTATCATCCTAACAATGCCACTGCATGTTGCAAAGAGGGAGCGAGGGCTATAAATCCTCTTCGCTTTTGTCCAGAGCTGGGTCAAATATTTTTTTGCCGGGAACAAAAAAAAAATAATTCAGCTTGTCCGGAACTTGATAGCTCTCGTGAAGATAACGGCAGTGACAACTGTTTTTGAAGGGCAAAAATTTGTCCTATTTTGAGAATTACAAATCAGGCTACACTTTGGGGGAAGAGAGAAGTGAAAAAATAGCAGCCTGCATGAGTTGAACGTGGATATTGTCATCTGTAATTTTCGAAGAATTGCTCAGCAAGAGAACACGTGTGCAGAGGGCTCCAGAGAGTGTTTAAATAATCCCGATGCTCACTGCCCTTGCCTAGACTCGGAATGGCCCCCTGGCTCCTTGATCAGGAAAGCCCGTTCAGAGAGGCTCATATTTCGATTGCTGGTTGGCTTCGGGAAGGTGACCACGGTAAATAACAGCTAGTTTCTGGGACTCCTTGGATTGGTTGTCCCCTGGGGAGAGGGGACAACTGAAGGGAGGAATTAGAATGACCTTGCGCCACTGCAGCAGTGGCTGGGGTCGGAAGAACTGCTTTTTGTGGCAAGGAGGATAGTGATGCTGGTTTATCATCACCCCTGGGCATTTCCACATCAAAAATCTAAAAAGTCCTAGGGTGAGATTGAGAGTGGGGGGAGAGAATATCATTCGTTATTTCCACATTGTTGGGCATAAAAACCAGATTTTGACCTTCACTGGGATCTATCTAACTTCTGTTATAGTAAAGCAGTGAAATTTTTTGAAGGAGACAAACAGTGTATCAATTTATGCCCTTGACCTTTGCTTCCAGAAGAGATGTACAGTTATATCCCAGTGTAAGAATGTGTGTGCTGAAGCAAGCATTGGAAATGTCACAAAAAACTCACAGTGATTAGTTAACCTCCCAAATGATTTTTTTCCTAATATTCAATGCTAGAAGGAAAGTAGAAAGACATGCACACGCTCTTTCTCCCTTCTAATGCTATTTCAAACACTTTTAAATTGATAGATCTTTTATGTGAAATTATTCTTCTGTACATCATTCAGTCATTAGTGACATCATCAAACATAAACCAACAAAATTTCCATCCTGCAAAAACACATATGTGCTTGTTTTTAATGTTAAATAACATGAGCATACACTTCTGGCAATAAATGATATGATTTATTTTTAAGGTCAGTCGTGGAGCTGTAGAGAGCTTGTATTTTAACTCAATATGCCAGCTCTGAATCATCATTTCTCTGCTGATAAACACTGAGCTGCCATCCATTTATGGCCATTTTCCCCTGGCTTGTTGCTGCTTTATTATTAAAGCCACCATAAAGATCCATCCCGGCAGCAGGCGTTTCCCCAGAAATGTTAATAAATGGAAACCCTTAGAGAAGTCTGGTACTTCAATGTCCCTGCTTGAAGTCGGCCTGTATTTTTTTAGCCAGTTTGTTGATATTCTATACCACCAATCTCCCCTTTTTTTTAATAGAGGTCATTTTTTTAATAGAGAGGATGTTAGGAGTGGGAGACCAATAGCACACCTGGTTCATCAGCTCACCAAAACATAGATGTCAAGTAGAACATGCCAGGGTGGAAACGCCACCAAATTTCTGGAGTGGCATCTGTTGTAATCTAGTGTTTGGTTGTCTGAAATTGACACCTAGGTTCTAACACATTTTCAGATCTAGTTACCAACGTTGATTGAAAGTGAGTGCTTAAATTACTGTGTGAATTCAACTGTATTCTTCTGTACAGGATGCCGACAAACAGTGTGTTTTCCGTATGAAAGGATTGTGAGCTGATTTTCATAAATCCAACCCTTTATTTGAGTGATATATAAGGAGGTTTTTCTTTTTTTATTCGTAATGCAATTGATAGCATAAAAATAATATCTGAATAAAAAGAAAATCTCAAATGTAGTAATTTACAATAGACTTCTGGGGGCTTGCATAATAGAGGGAAGACTCTTAGAGTGGACGTCTTGAAATATAAAGTTTTTACTATGAGAAATGGAAATATGAAAGGATCCTTCAAGTTTCCATTTACCAGCTTCTGTCTCTTGACTGGCTCTTGCAGCGATATATGTTGTAAGTCTTGGCTATCGGTGTGTCTGAGCGAGAGAAGGGTAATTTCCTACTTTAAAAAATTCATTGGTTCCTCTATTTAAAGTTTGTGTATAGAGTCACGCGTAATGGAATTTCATGGGAAAACAAATGTGTTTTTTGCCATACGAGCAGGTACTGACCTCTAGCTCTCATTATTTCTCTGTTTTCTCATATGGTATAATAGTTGGGTCAGGTCAGTGGGTCCTCTTATAGGATAAAAGTAAAAAAGATTAATAAATGTGCCAAAGCCTCACTTTAATTGAACCTGAAGCATATGTTGCAAGTATGTAAAATATGTCCCAGATGTTCCACCAGGGCTAGTGTCTTGGCTTTCCATGATTACCACAAGGCAGCTATTAGTCCTATAACCTTTGGACTTGGGGGTAAATGGGGTATTACGTGGCACAGAATGAGAGCACCTGTTTTCCATTCAGCAAAGACCCCTGGCAGGCTTTGCCTAAGTCTATCCATATGTTTTCACTTAGCAGATTGTTGGGCGATTATGAAAAGTGTCTTTCTTTAGAGCCAGCATTGATATTAGTCACTCACAATGAAAGGGCAAGTCATTGGCTACTTGACAAGGTCCGTGTGGGCATAAACTGAAGTCGTTTATTTCATTTGAGCTTAGAGTGTTTTCTCTCAGCATAGTTATATAGATGACAAAGACAAAGGTATATGAAGTTGAAGCAAAGATTATAATTACTTAACATAATAGTTTTGTAATAGCTTTAGTGCTAAATTTAGCACCTGGGAGGACTTTGCTTAAAGTCGGTAAAAGCTAAGTCATGATTTACCTGGATCCCCAGATCTTGAACTTTTTCCACATTATTGCCTTTCGAGTATTTTTTGGTGTGAGTTCTTCCTTTTTATTAAAACAGCTAATCATTATTCAGGTAAGGGTTTGTGATCCTCAGACTTATCCTTCATTCTAGAATCCATTGTCCACATTTGTTTAAATCTGAAATTAGATGGCTTCTCTCTTAATCCAATTCCATGGTTCTCACCAAGGCAGAGAATATTGGTTTTAAATGGTGTCTTAGTTATGAATCATTGCCTTGTTAATATTTCCACTTATCTGCATTATGTAGTAGCACTATGTTAAGCTGCACTGGAGATGCAATTTTTCCTGAATTAAATGTTAGAAAGACATCAGACTGCATTCTCAATTCCCTGTGTTGTAGAGCATCCCCTCGGCCATCAACCGCAAAGTCACAATTTGATCTGATTTTTTGACCTGACACCAAATCTTGCCTTTGTGGTTAATAGAATATCTTAGTAAATAATAAGGTGTAGTTAAATTACCTAGGTGGAGCTATCACCAAGCCATATAATAGTGTTTTTCACCATGTTATATATAATAGTACAGTGGTCAATCTGCACACCCTAGACCCCTAATTAATGAAGATCAGCTTTCATTTTGTAGCTTAAACAGTTTAGGCATGCTTCCTATGGTGTGTCCTACCCTTGTAATAGAATCCAGCTGCAATATCAGGAAGTGAAGATAGAATGCAGGTTTTCCTCAGGAAAAGCATGGATTTAAATGCATGGCATTCTAGTAATGTTTATTGATAGAAGATATTAAAATGTTCAGGCATTTATGCTTACATTGCTTCTCCTTTTTCTTCAACCGTTATGTCAAGGTTACTGTGTTTCAAGATAACTAGATGCAATCAATGAAACATATCTGAGTTACTTCAAAATACACAGATTGTTGGCTTGAATTCTCGAAATCTATGTTTTCCGGTTTGAATCTCCAGCCCTAAACATGTATATAATATACCCAAGACGCATACATCTCTGCGTCTTAAATCAACTGTGAGGGAGGAAAAAAGATAACTCTGATACGTGATATAAGAGAAAATTTTAATCTGACAAAATGGCATTTTCCTGTTATAGTCAACAAAATAAGTGCATGGTGGGGAAATAATAAAAAAAAGCTTCAGAAAAAGTCAGGGACAAGAAAAAAATTCTTTAAAAAAATCCTAACTCGTCTTTAACTGGAATAGCATTGTATCAATTTATTAGATTTCTATTTCTGCATAACAAATTTGCACAAACTTAGAGGCTTAAGACAATTACACATGTATTAGCTCTCAGTTCAGTAGGTCAGAAGTCCAGGCATGGCTCAGCTGAGTTCCCTGCTCAGAGTCTCACACTCAAGGCTCGGTTCATCTAGAGGCTCTGCAGAAGAATCCACTTCCAAGCTTTTTCAGTTTGTTGGCAGAATTCAGTTCCTTGTAGCTGGAGGACTGAAGCTCTTGTTTTCTTGTTGGCTTTCTGCACCTAGTGGCCACTTTCCATAGCCCCCTCCATCTTTATATCCATCAATGTTGAATCTCCCTTGTATCAGATCTCTCTCATACTTCAAATCTCTTTCTTCAGGAAGAGCCCAGTCCCTTTTAAGGGCCCACCTGATTAAGTGAGGCTCACTAAAGATAATCTCCCTTTCTTAAAGTCAGCTCTCTTTTTTGTTTTGTTTTGTTTATAATTTTATTTATTTATTTGTTTCCCCCAAAGCCCCAGTGGATAGTTGTATGTCATAGCTGCACATCCTTCTAGTTGCTGTATGTGGGACACGGCCTCAGCATGGCCGGAGAGGCAGTGTGTCGGTGCGCGCCCGGGATCCGAACCCCGGCCACCAACAGCGGAGCACACGCGCTTAACCACTAAGCCACGGGGCCGGCCCTCAACTCTTATGTAACATAACCTAATCATGGAAATAACTATCCCATCATATTCCT